CCCCCCCCACATTTTTTTGGGGGGAACTGTGTCTTATGGAGCAAAAAATACAGTAATACAGGAGAATGCATTGTTTCACATCAGTGAAATCTGTGTGATTTACACAACTCCACTGAAAAGCCTGGCGTGCTCTGGTCAATGGGGTCATGAAGAGTTGGATACGACTTAACGACTAAACAACAAACTGAAAAGCTATTCCGCCAAGTGGAATTGTAACTAATTTTACATTGTATGTAAACATGCTGGGAAAGGTGAGACTGGTCATCCCTGCCCAAGTAAATCTATTTACATCAAGGATTTATTTTATTTTATATACAGTGGTGCCTTGCAAGACAAATGCCTCACAGGACAAAAACCTCGCAAGATAAATGGTTTTGGCAATGGGGGTTGATGACTCGCAAGACAAATGTTCCTATGGCCCTGCTTCGCAAGAAGAATGTTTTCCATTTTTTGTTCCTGCCTCATGTTTGCCGATTTTTAAATGTTTTTCTATGTTTAAAAAGTTAAAGATTTTTGATTGAATTTTTTAAAACCATCTGCACAATATGTATGGCTTTAAAGAGCACTTAATAAACCCTTTGTAAACCAAATTTGACTTTGTTCTGACTTTTTTTGCCCATAGGAATGCATTAATTAGATTTCAATGCATTCCTATGGGAAAATGCATTTCACAAGACGAATTCTTCACAAGGCAACATTAACCGCAGAACAAATTCAATTCGTCTTGCGAGGCACCACTGTATTTATTTATTTAAACACCCCATTTAGTGAAGCATATTATAATCCTGCAACAATAGATTTATAAATAAAACCAAGGGATTATAAAACATAATACAAGACGATGAACAGCTGAGAAGTAAATTGTCACCTTGGCACACATTCTGGACCATGTCAGGCCCAAGAGAGATAAAGGATGTCCCGCAAATGTGATGATCCCCCAAACACAATCTGAACTGCCCAGATGGACACTTTCTTATGGGGGGGGGGCTTGGGGCTTGAGGACTCCTCTCTCTGATGCAAAAACGGACACTTCCCTTCCTCCCAGAATGAAAAACCGCATTTCCTGCCTCCAACCAATTTTTTTTTTGCAATGGGGTATTGTGTGCCTGCAACACATAAATGTCTCAGGGAGGGTCAAACGCAGCCCAGAGGCCGAGAGAAAAGAAAAAGAAAAAACTTCACTTAATACATTTTCCACGTCTTGTGATTGCCAATCTCTATAGGACTTCTGTAAGAAATGCTGGAGGCCTAACATCTCTCGCATCCTAGAGCTTTACTAGCCTAATAAAATAAACTGATGCTAAAAGTCTCCAAATGGAGACACCTTATGCCAAGTTTTATATTCACAGCATTTTGCCAGGCTTCTTTTCAGGGGAAAAGAAGGAAGAGCCAACAGGAAGCTGCTGCTGTTGGGGATTGTCCCTTTCCGTTTTGGAGCCTGCAGGCAACGCAGGAGCCGTGGTTAAAGTTTCTTCCCCTACAAGGTGGTAAATACTGTAGAATCCAATAAAAGTTCTGCAAGTATCTGAGGCTGAAGAATGCAGGGCTACTAGGAGCCCTGGGTAATAGCAGAAGACAATGGCTAAAATTTTATTAGCTTAGTAAATAGAGTAGACTCATTGAATAGGTAGGGATTTGGTGAGTCAACTCCTCTGTAAGTCCACTGATGCCAACAGATCCATTCTAGTTTTAATTAGTTAATTAATTAATTAAAAATATTTTTAACCCCACCTTTCTCCTTAAAAAGGAGTCAAGGCAGCTTACATAATTAAAATATAATGTTTAAAGCTCCCAGTTCAACAACCCAACCTGGGAGGTTCTGCCAAATTATGGGACTCAGAGCTCATTTCTTCCAAAAATCCTATTAACACCAAATCAAAGTGGGGTTACTGTATGTCAAAGTATTATACATGGGATCAAGCTGAAGAATGCCTAAGCTATGTTACTTTCCGATTCCCTTATTTGAATACCAAGAGGAAGTTTATGAACACATTTTGTTTCACAGTATTTTGATATTTTTTAAAAGAAATGTTAGATGGAAATGAATTGTGACACAAACAGTCACTAAAGGAAGATGATTTCAAAAAGAATACTCACCTTTTTGCCTGCTGAGGAAGAAATCTTTTTGTCTTCTACAAGGTCCAGAAGTTCAGCCAAAAGTTGGGGACTGATGGGACTAGAAAGACATAGTCACTTAAACTGGGTTGGTTCTTGTTGTTTTGTTCCTATGCACTTTTGTGTTATGGTGACTCTAAAGGGGTTTTCAAGGTACATGATATGTTCAAGTACTTTTTTATCCTTGCCACCCTCCCTGTGAGATTCCATGGCCAAGAAGAGATCTGAACTAAAGGATGGGCAAAATCTCTGCTTTATTTCACCATGGCCTTCAATACCTATGGAAAGTCTGTGTGGACTGTATGAGATATTTTCCGGTAGTAGTGTTAGAAGAGGTAGCCATGATAGTCTCTGCTAGCACATTAGACCAAAAAATATACTTCTACTTCTCCTTTGAATTGCAAAGGTTTGAACAGTATGGTTTGGGTTATACACTTTTTTTCAATAAATAAATAAATATTTATTTATTTAAAATATTAATACAGTGGCGCCTCGACTTATGACCATAATACGTTCCAGAAGATGGACATAACTCAAAAGGGTTGTAAGTCGAAGCAGCATTTCCCACTGAAATGCATGATAACGTGATTAATCTGTTCCAGCATTTAAAAAAAAAAAAGCAAAGCAAGCCCTAAATGTGCTGGGGCTTTAAAAAACAAACAAACAAAAAAGGAGCAAGTCCCGTTGCAAGGCGCTGGGGCTGCAAAAAAAAAAAATCCACCAAAAAGCAAAACAACACATCACAGAAACATAACCCGCCTTTCCCCCCTGCCTTTTCCTTGTTGTAGCTTAAAGCTCCGGCTGCAAGTCGAAGCAAAATTTTTGTGGCCAGAGCTGGTCGTAACTCGAAATGGTTGCAAGTATGTAACTCGAGGCACCACTGTATTCCAATAAATAAATAAATATTGTGCCCCTGTCCACCCACAACCCCATGAATTCAACACTGAAAGCATCAAAGTGGTCTACTTTCCCTCTCTATAAAACATCTCTATTTCACTCTCTAGATGAGGGGGTCATAAGGATCTGTTAAGGCTCATTGCACACAGTACTCTATGAGAAGGATTGTCAACAGTATAGAAAAGAAACGTGATAGAGAGAACTGTTCTCTCGCTCTCCCTCTCCCTCCCTCTCTCTCTTTCTCTCTGTGTATGTTTGTGTATCAACTGTTTATGCTTTGTAGTTACAGTTCTTGAGCCGCAAGAATTATACACAGATTAGGGCCTGGGGCCCCTAATACCAATGTTGCTGAACGGAGAAGTGTATACTGCACATTAAGCTCTTCCTATATATGCCCTATTCCTTTACATCAGTAAAGTATCTGGAAACCGAGCCCTATGTAGAATGGGTCAGGGAGCTGGATAAATTGGCAAAAGAATTCTAGGAGTTGTAGTCCAAAAAACATAATGTTTTTGACCTCTAACTTGTAAACACATGTACTTTGTTTATGATTATGTACTATTAGATGACAATACTATTTACCATCACCTTCCCCAAACTGGTGTGTTCCCTTTGCTGTCAGACTACAACATTCAGCAGCCTCAACTAAAATAACTCATGGTCAAGGATGATGGAAACTGCAGTTGAAGGACAAGAGGTTAGAGAATACTACACTACTGTAAAACATTAGTTCTTAGAGTATAAGATTTCTTAAAGATATCGAGATCTGAAATCCTCACCTTTCCTTTACTGCAAGCTCACGTTGTTTTAAATAGCCAAGCATATGTGTTAGAATCCAGCCAACCACCTTTTTGGGATTCATTTTTGTTGTTTTCACCACCATTTCAAAAAATTCCATTAATCCATCTTCATTCTGTTCAGAGATAAAATTCGTATTCAGACAAAAGCCATCAACACTTCCCAATTCTCCATCCAAAATTTTTAAAACTCATCACACATGCAATATTCTTAAACTCTGCCCCCCCAAATTCCCAGCCATCAATCTAATCAGTGTGGTCCAAGTTACTTCACAGTATTTCCAAAACAGCAACCATATGAATATTCAACAGGGCTGTTTGACAGACAACACTTCAGCCTCTCTGCAATTTTTACAGAAGTTACACACCCTTACCATTCGCAAGTTAGTTAATGGGATTAATTCTATAATTCAGAGCTTGGAAAGTTATATATAAGAAGAATGACTATTATGGAAGCCAATCATAACCGAGCAGTGATAGGATGCGGTTCTGTAATGCAGGGTATTAACCTGCCATTATTTAGTTGTGGATAGCTTCAGTGTGGTTTTATAGTCATGCTGCCTAAAAATAATTTCCCAAGCTACTTATCTTGTTAGCTTTAGACCAAAAATACTTAGAAATCATTGACCCATTCAGGAGCCATGTGATAATCTCAAGATAATGCTGTAGGGGGTGTGGTGTGCAGGTTTTTGGCAGACAGCTGGCAGATTACACAGGCTAAGACATATCTATACTGCAAATACTCCATCCCATATCTCCTTCAGCCCAGCAATCTGAGAGATAAATCATTCATTTCTCTATAAGCTTGATGTCACAGGGAAGTGTGGACAGCCCCAATACTAGTCACAGAATACAGATGTGTAGATACATATGCAAATATTTGTATCTCTCTAACTGGACAGGTAAAAGTAGGTGCCAGTGTGCAAGTGAAAGAGGGCTGAGAGAAGAAATGATTTAAATATTTTGGAGTCAGCTAGCATAGAGGAAAGCGATGACAAACCTTGACAGCATCCTAAAAAGCAGAGACATCACCTTGCCAACGAAAGTCTGCATAGTCAGTCAAAGCTATGGTTTTTCCTGTCGTGATGTATGGAAGTGAGAGCTGGACCATAAAGAAAGCTGACTGCTGAAGAATTGATGCTTATGAATTACGGTGCTGGAGGAGACTCTTGAGAGTCCCCTGGACTGCAAAGAGAACTAACCTATCAATTCTAAAGGAAATCAACCCAGAGTGCTCACTGGAAGGACAGATCCTGAAGCTGAGGCTCCAATACTTTGGCAATCTCATGAGAAGAAAAGACTCCTTGGAAAAGACCTTGATGTTAGGAAAGTGTGAAGGCAAGAGGAGAAGAGGATGACAGAGGATGAGATGGTTGCACAATGTCAGCGAAGCTACCAGAATGAATTTGACACAACTCCGGGAGGCAGTGGAAGATAGGAGGGCCTGGCGTGCTCTGGTCCATGGGGTCACGAAGAGTCGGACACGACTGAACGACTGAACGACGAGGAGCATGAGAGTGTACCTAGTATGGTGTACTGGATAGATACGGTATACCAATCCCCACTTGGTCATGAAAACTCACTGGAGAGTGGCATTGGTAAAACTACTCCTTAAATATCTCATTTATCTTAAAAGCCCTATTAGGGTCATTGTAAGTTGGCTTAAACTTGACATAACAACAACAAGGGGTAGCAGCCAGCTGTGGTCTACTCTGTTGATTGCTGATTGCTGTAGTCATCTACTGTAACAATGATTTCCAAAATAGCTCTAAATCTATTATCTAAACTGCAGTGGTCCCCAACCTTGGGCCTCCAGATGTTCTCGGACTATAACTTCCAGAAGCATTCACCAGGATTTCTGGGAGATGAAATCTAAGAACATTTGGATGCCCAAGGTTGGGGACCCCTGGTCTAAAGACTTGATAGTTAAAAGGTGTGTTAGCAAGAGATGCATATTTGTCAAATTTGTCTTCAGCACTTTGCCCTGAATGACAAACTTCGGATACAATTTTTTGATGTAAGGGAGGGGGGGACTCAAGCAGTTGTTTGCTTCCAGACAATTTTTGCTAGTGGGAAACTGATCAAAATGCACAGCAGACTCAAACCAAGACTTGTCTAAAACAGAAGTCTGGAGTAAGCCTATGACTCATAGGAGGAATATTTCTTTCTCAGACAGTTTGTCAGCTAAGGGAATAAGCTCAGGCAAGGCAACTCTTGAATGGAACTTACTTATATCCAACGCCAAATGCAGTTTTCTCCAAAATTCTAGCCCTTATCCAGCCTCACTCAATTTGAAGTGAGCTTTCAGCAGGAGCTTCTATTTCCTTACTGCATATATTAAATACTCATTCCTAACAGCTTAATGAGATACTGTCCGGTGAAAACTGTACATCTTTAAAAGTACATTAATAAGCAAATGTTTGCTATCCTCTGTTATTTTACAAATCTCAGAGCCTGGAAAAACTGGTGGAATATGATTATCAGAACCTCCAGCTAGCGTGGTGGCCACATTGGTTGAGGAGTCTGAGATTTCTAATTCCAAAAATAACTGTTCCAAGTCTAATACACTCCAGATCATGATATTAAACTGGATGTGAAGTCTGATCGCAAGAGCTCAGCAGTAATCATAGAGGGGCTTCAGGTGATTAAACCACATTAACCCTAGCCAGCATAGTGAATGGTCAGACATGATGGAAATTATAGTCCAAAGCATGTATGGAGTGTCAGACTGTCTACCCCACATCAGTCAGTCTATCTTGCAAAGCAGGGTGGAAAAACCTGCAGCCCTCATATTAGGCTATAACTACCATCATGCTGGCTGGTTATGTTGGCAATTGGTTATGTTGGCAATTCATTATATAGCTTTTTTGGCTGACTTTATGGTCAAAAGGATAGGAGTGTGGGATTAGCTGGACTCCAAGATCCTTTCATATCTTTCACAAGGAAAGTGATCTTACCATTGATGGTGGTTGTTGTAGATTTTTTGGGTTGTTTGGCTGTGTTTGAAGGTTTTTTTTCCTAATGAAAGATCCTTTCATATCTTTCACAAGGAAAGTGATCTTACCATTGATGGTGGTTGTTGTAGATTTTTTGGGTTGTTTGGCTGCATTCTGGAGGTTTTTTCCCTAATGTTTCTCCAGTCTCTGTGGCCGGCATCTTCAGAGGACAGGAGTTAGAACTCTGTCTGTGTTCTAACTTCTGTCCCTCTGAAGATGCCGGCCATAGATTTGGCAAAATGTTAGGAATAAAAACCTCCAGAACATGGTGAAACAGCCCGGAAAACCTACAACCATCAGATTCTGGCCATGAAAGCCTTCAAGAATACAGATGTTAGCACTGTTAGTGTTACAAAACACAACTGTTCATCTTTGTTCATGGGGATACTATACAATTCATCTGTGCTGAAAAATATAATTGTATGTGCTCATTAGATTTTCCAGGGCCTTAAACTGGTACACAAAATAAATGCTGGCCTATTTTTAAAGTGTTACAGTGACAAACAAGAATCAGAACAATATCTACATTTTCTTGGTCCATGTTGGCCACAATCCTATTGGTGACTTGCTACACCAAACTCCAGTAAATTAACAAGGTCCTGGGCTGCATCCCTAATCATGTGTCTGGTCATGTGCCCAACTGCTTAGCTGAGATGTGCCCTGGCACCTCAGCAATCAACCGCCATTAGCTGTGGCAAGTAATGCAGATATTATGCATTCACCTATAGGATTCCTAACAAAGTCTATTACTGCCCATGGAAGCCTGTGGATGCTTGTGGCATTCACACCTCGTGGCCCCTGCCTGACTCCCCAAACACAGAGCACACGAAGGCAAACCAATACTCCTTTTCACAAGCTGCCACCAGTTGATCACTAAATCAACATACGTTACATAGGGAAGGATGAAGATGAAGGTCCAAACTTCACTGTCTTTTAAATAAAACAAGTTTATTGATTACAGATGTTTGATAATTAATCATAAGTAACTTCTACAGGGTTTATTTATCATCAATCTCAACTCTTCTCACTAATCATACCTCACATCTCACAAATACCACACACTCTCTCCCTCTCCACTCTCATCTCCCTCTTGACTCTGACTGACTCACTGTCTGACTCCGCCTCTTTTACACATCTTTCGGCTCTGCCTCTCAGCAACATTAGCCTGCAACATGAATGTTCATGACTACTTAACATAATAAGGGTGAACGCTACAATGCTCCTCAGCGTACAGGAAACAGGGTAGATGTGAAAATTTGTTCAAAGTACTTTAACTTTTACTTTTGATTTGTGGTAATTTCCCCCCCCCCATTCATTTTCTTAGATATTAGATTTCATGTACAAAGGGCAATTGCTTGAACAAAACAGAAGCAGAAGTAATACACAATCTGAACGAAATGAGGACAGTTTGGTAAAAAGTTAGTCACAACCTCCTTCAGAGGTTTTGAGCATGAGTAAGAGTATCGTTTTTATTGAGGAAATATGCATATTCTTCAGCAGTTTTCTAACCTAGAGAATACTCTCATTGCTGAGGGGACGGTAAACCCTATTAATATGGGCAACTCTAGACAGGAGCCTCTTGAAGTAATCTACTCTGTTCACCAAGTATCCTAGACCTCTTGGTAGATCAACAGCAAAATGCACACAAGAAAACACGTATGTATGTGCACCAATGAAAGCTATTTTACTTCAGGAATTTTTAAATTAATTTAAGGCTTTTAAAGCAAATTGTAACACTTTTTTGAACTTTTTGTTAACTTACTGAGCATTTTTGACACATTGTTGTTTCTAATGTTATGCTTTTCATATTGTATTTGTTATCTGAATATGTTACACACACCACCCTGGGATCCCATGTGGGTACCAGACAATTAGAACGTCAGGCTAGGATTTGGAGATTTGGCCTCAAGCCCCTACTGAGCCATGAAAATCTTGGGATGACCTGGATTAGTTGTTCACATTCTTTCTTAGCCTGATCTCCCCTCTCTGAGGAATTGTGAGACTGGGGATGGGAAGATTCATCATCCCTGCCTTGAGTTCTCAGGAGGAAAAAGGTAAAGGTAAAGGTAAAGGTTCCCCTTGACAATTTTTGTCCAGTCGTGTTCGACTCTAGGGGGCGATGCTCATCCCCGTTTCCAAGCCATAGAGCCAGCGTTTGTCCAAAGACAATCTTCCTTGGTCACATGGCCAGTGCAACTTATGACACGGAATGCTGTTACCTTCCCACCGAAGTGGTCCCTATTTATCTACTTGCATTTGCATGCTTTTGAACTGCTAGGTTGGCGGGAGCTGGGACAAGCGACGGGAGCTCACTCCGTCGCGTGGATTCGATCTTACGACTGCTTGGTCTTCTGACCCTGCAGCACAGACTTCTGCGGTTTAGCCCGCATCATACCCGACTTTATCCTTGGCCCCCAGCTTGCTTAATTTATACTGGTTTTATTGTCAAAATAAACAAATTCTTGCTTGTTTTATTGTTAACTTTGACACATATGCCTTTTAAAAGATAATCCTTATAAATAAAAAGGAGGGGAAAGCAGGAGAGAAGGCAAGGCAAAAAAGAGAGATGTGTTGTTACAAGCGCTCACTGTAATTAGAGGAACCTCATGAAATTTTAGCAATACCGGCTTAAGAATCCCCCAAAGAATTAACACAGCACCAACTGGAATAAGCAAAAAAGAGAAAGAAAACAGTCTTTCTGTACTGAACTATGACATTATTTTAATGCAATTTCCTCTGCATAATGCTCTTGCTAACAAGTTGGCAGGGAGCATGGATCTCGCATTTTGAAGACATCTCAGTACCTATGCCATTTATTTAATGAGCACACTTGGGCACTCTAACTTGAAAGACTGTTCATTAGATTTATGCATCCTTCCCATTAGCAATCTGCTTGTATTCCTGATGTAAGCTTCAAACAACAGCAGAAACACCATGTCCCAGGTGAATTTTTATTAGTCTGTATCTCAGTGAATCAAAAGAAAAGTCTTTGTATTTAAATGTGTATAAAAAAAATTCAATTCCTAAAAAAATTCCTGTTAATACATGTGGGAGATTGTGCTTCTCTGGTCATGATTAAAAACATCAGGAAATTGCTTGATATTGCAGTATGTTGCCAGCAGGAAAAAGGATGCCAGACTTTTCATAGCATGAATGTTACTAACACCAATGTCGGCATTCAATATGGTCTACAAGCTACCCCCTTGTGCTCAGGACCATTCATTAGATGGATGGACTTAGTAAAAGAAGCCACAGCTGTTTGTTTGGCAAAAAATGAGAGGAACATATCAGAAACAACAATATTGCTAGGAAAAGGAGCAACAGGAACAGAGATGGATGCCTAACATGAGATGGATTGACTTAAAGAAATCCACTGTTGTTAGTTTGTGAGATCTGATTAGAGCTGTTAATGACAGGACGTTTTGGAGGTTATTAACTCATATAGCTACTATACAGAGGAAGGGATTTGATAGCATGAACGTCTTTGGAGTTTTTAAAAATTACCAAGCAACTGTGTAGTGACAAGATGAGTGGACGGACTAAGGTACTCAACTACCAACTATGACAGGATGTAGGCATGAAAGCTTTGCTAACATGGAGTAAGACCATCCTCAGCTACTAAGCAAAAACCAATAATTTCACAACTTAAAAGAGTGAAGTGCTGAGTATTTGTTCTCTATTATTCTTTTTAAAATGTAGACCCATTTTTACAACCAGATGCAGAATCTCCTTGCAAGCATGAATCCCAAAAAGCCTGTTTTACCATGAATGAATTAAAATTATCCTCCTGCAAGTCATATAATTGGGTCCTGATTGACAGATTCAAAAAATTAGATTGTTCTAGAGCAGCGATGGTGAACATATGGAATGCGTGCCACAGCTGACATGCAGAGCCCTTTCGAACATATGGCATGCGGCTACAGCTGACACGCAGAGCCCTTTCTGCAGGCATGCAAGCCATAAATTGCCGGATCGCTACCCCCCTGTGCAGCCAAACCTGAGAAGGTGGGTGCAGCCGCGGTTCTGGTGCTTCAACAGGTGGATCTGGAGCAGGGTTCTGGTGCTTTAGCAGGTGGATCTGGAGCAGCTGGAGCTGGTGGCAGATCCAAAGTGGGGTCTTGAGGCACCTCCATGCCTGGGATTCCCCCTTCCACCGCCACTTCTGGTTCCACCACCACCGCGGCAAACCGCCTGCTGGGTTTTTTTTTCTTTGGCCACGTGAGCCCAAAAAGGTTTGCCGTTCCACCACCACCGCGGCAAACTGCCTGCTGGGTTTTTTTTCTTCTTCAATTTGGGCACGTGAGCCCAAAAAGTTTCGCCACAATTGTTCTAGAGGCAGAGCCAATTTTCATTTTGAAAGCTTATGTCAAGAGACTGTTTTTGTTCTAGAGGCAGAGCCAATTTTCGTTTTGAAAGCTTATGTCAAGAGACTGTTTTGTCTCAGAAATACAGAATGTTTACTGAAAGCACCTTGGGCTAGGAAGATACAAAGCAAAATGTCCACCATTCACACTTGCTGAAAAACAGCCCTGACAATTGCTCCGTGTTTGGGTAAGAAGGTGTTAACTGACAAAAAAAGAGAGCTAGATTCTTGGATTTTCCCTGGTTTAGTGTCACTTTGTGAACAACAGTGAGCAGAAGAGGGTGTCCTGCAGACCATATTGACTACTGCCATTGGTGTTGTCAACATTCAGGTTGCCTTTTGCTATGTAAAGCTTGGAATCCTCTTTCCTGCTGGCAACAGGGACATGATACTATCAAACAATATCAGGCCATGTCCTGGCATTTTAAATTATAGATACAGAAGTGCAATATCCCACATTCATATGTTTATGCAAACCTACAAAGATTTGGCATAATGGACAATCAATGGTGGAAGGTTGAGCTCTGCCATGAACCTGGCAAAAAAGAACAGGGAAGGAGGGAGGGAGTAAAGAGAGTACAAAAGTAGCTGGTAACAGTCGTTAATTTGCAAAGACTAAGAAAGCTCAAAGGAAACCTTTATTCAGTCACCCAATTGAGGGACTTACTTGGTGATTTCCATGGAGAAGGACTTGAAAGGGACCTCCTGGAATGTCATAATTTGTTTTATAATCAAAGGCTATGAGACTATAACTTTATTTACCACTTGGCTATAATAGAGGTTTTAGGGACACAGATTCAAAAGACCAGGTGAAGTTTGGCTCCCATCTAAGCAGAAATAGCAAAAAATGTTTGACATATTTCCCAGATTAAAAATAAATCTATGAGAGCTGACAACAGGCTAATATGGCATTTTAAAGAGTGTTTTCTGAAGCACCGACTCTTTGAAGTTTCTCGGTTTACTTGAACGTTCAATCAATAGACCTACCGATAAGGTGAAACTGTGCTGAGTCTGGATCCCATATTGTTTAACAAGCTTTGCTCTCTTTGCACTGGGGAGGTCTGGAAGCCTCTCCCGAACCCAATCAATATTCACCACTTGGTGACTGTTGGTGTGAGCAGGCAAAGATTTAGCATCATGGAGAATCAATGGCGGAAGGTTGGGCTCCGGCATGAACCTGGCGGGGAAAACAAAAAGATGTTTGCTGCATCCCAACAACATGTATTGGAGAAGCCAGACCTCTTGATAATGAAGCGACTTGCTATAACTGGACCAAATACTGAGAGCACACACAGAGTGGTTTTCCCCTTGCGCCAAAGTGTAGACTCAAGCTTCTTCTTGATGATCCAACTGCTAGCTGTCAAACCAGACAGCAGTGTAAAGAGGGAATACATTTGAACCATTTTAGAACACTCCTCCCAAAACAAACAAAATGCAGATGCCACTCATCCTTCTCGGTGCCAAACAGGACCTGTAATTTAGACCAACTGGGACTATAAACTGGCAAAGAGAAAAAAGAAATACTGACAGCCAGCTGCTAAGAGTGTTTCATGCAGGCTGCAACCTCCCTCATATTAATCTGAAGAGATTCATTGAAAAAAAAAGCACGCTGCGTTAAAAGCCAAGTTGCCATCTTCAGCAGGGTGCCATAATAAATAAAGCTGAGTGACAACAGCAAAGGATGAGGGCTCGGCTGAAGAGGGGGGCTTATTCAAGCCATCACAAAAACAGGGTGATTCAAGAGCCAATTCCTGCCTTACATGAATAAATGGTGGATTTGCAGACTTTAAATAATTAGAGCACTACCCATTTTCATTTGCAAGTAGCTGGGATGCACTTTTGAAGAAACTACATTGATGTGACACCAACTGGTTTCAAATTCATCTTAAAATAAACAAAAGCAAATGTAAAGAGCAAGTGTCACCCTAAGTTCTGCTCTGATTTATTCCTGCTCCCTTTCTTCGTTGTTTCCCTCTGCTGTTTTTCCATACAATTCAAATTAACCAGTATGAGCAGCCATAGAGGCCGATGCAAGTAGAAACATAAAGAAAGAATGAAATTGCCACAATGCTTTCTTCACACAATGTCCTGTGATTCAGAAAGATGAAGGCAAATAAAGGTTATTACTGCATTAGCTACTGAGTATGGCTGCATTAGCTGTGAAAAAATTGTAAAAGCTATTGTGAATCTTCAAAAGGCTTAATAAGAAGGCACAGGTCCTTTTATCCACACAGCAAGAAAACAGTCTGCATGTTCAAACCATCTGAATGATGGTAACTGGGAGTGCTACTTATGTAGTTTTAAATATACCTGGAAGTTATATGGTGGTTTGATTTTTGTTTTCAAGATGCTAGTTAAAATGGAATTGTTTAAATACGCCTTTTATTTTATGTCATTTGCTATCCAACGATGGTGTAAATTTGTTTACGTATGACAGAATCAGGAGTCACATGGATTTATTTTCATCATTTGTTCATGTTTATTATCGTTATTGTATTATTTGTAGTTTATATGTATTAACCACCAAGGGAATGTGTATCATGCTATTGGGTGGTACAGAAGTTAAAAACAAAACAAAACAAAACAAAGTTGTAACCTTCTCTTCCCTACTGTTCAATTATTGTGAGGTTTCTTCAAATGAATGCAAAATAACAATATGATGATGGCTTTATTCCATTATAAGTAGCATTGAACATTCTTCTCTGTCCCAGTAGCCAGAAAGAGATTGGGCAGAGTCCTGGCCACTGACCAGAATCAAGGAAGAATGAATTAGACATCACAGAGACAGTGACGGGAAAGTGTAAAGTGAAGTATGGTGCCACATCACCCTAGCGATCTCAGTGCCACAGTCAAGTCTGTGGAGACTGAAGGAAGAGCATGACCTTCAGATGCTCAATTAATTCCCCCCCCCCAAAATACCAGGCCATATCCTGAGAAATAAATATAGAAAGAGGACAAAATATGATTCTACCTACCTCCTCCTCAGCAATCCTGACAAAGGCATCTTCTGATAACTAGAAGACCCTCCTGAACAGGAAAGCTAAATGGGGCTGTAGGCTGCATGTGGGCCCCCAGGGCCCCCACCACACACCCCTCAGCTCCCTCCCCATGTTTTGAATCTGCAAAATGCCATTATACCCCTGTAAGTCTCTGGGGAGGCATGATTTGTACTCTACATGCATCTCCCTTCCCAGCCTCTTTTGAACCAAAAAAGTCCTGCAGAGCATTTCCCAAGAGCCCAGCTTACCATTCTGATTTAAAACGGGCTACCTGCCAAATATTTCCATGCACATTCCTCCTGATCCAACCAAAAATAAATACAATTACCGATAGTCCTGTTTTCCTTCTTTGTCCCTCATTGTTATGGTGCATCTAATAGACAAAAAGAAAAAGAAGGTATGAGACACAAGAAATTTGAATCCATAATGTCTTTGTTAAGGTCATTTGAACAGAAACATTTATTAATAATACAGTCAAATTCATCCTTACTAAAATTCAGTCCATATTAGAAATTTATCATTTTGCCTCATTTCAAAAAATGTAAGGAGATAGTTTTCACAGTACTGAGAAAAGACTCTTGAAAGTAGCAGCTAGATAAAAAACAAACCAAAAAAACAAACAAAAACACAGTAGGGCAGAGAGAGTCCCAGCAGTTGTTTGGAAACTTTCAATCACTCTGAGCCTCAATTTTTGAGAGGCAAATATGCCTTCATATTTGGCAAATAAGACCTTCAGTAAACAAGATATGTTAACTAGAATTAATCCAATGCTCAGGAAAGTATTTGGGGGCATAAACTCCCTGTATCACCCAGTCAGCATGACTTGGAAGCTGTAGATTTTTCAAAGCTTCTACTATCTTTCACACATGCAGTCTTTGCTTCCTCACTAATGAACCTCTCTGAATTCAAAAAGTAAACCGTCTTATTCATATCTTATGGGAAATGGTGAGCATGACAAAGGGTAAAACTTACCCAAGCTTATCATCAAAGACTCTAGTTTCATTCACAATAGTTCCTCCATTCTCCAGCACTTCGGTTTGCCTTTGTATTTCATAGTCTTAAAGAAACAAGCAGACCTAGTTCAGTTATATTGCACCCTTACCTGTTTTATTTTGTCAGACTAGGCGAAAAAACCCAGTTTTAAGCTTTACAAAAAACTGTAGACCTGTTAGTGACAAGACTTATGAAGACACTGAACTGCTTTCTGATGGCTAAGAGATGTGGCATATACAGTATATACCATTTTCAAAGGATTTAATTGCAATTCAAGCTCATCCAAAACATCCTGAAATACTACAACTGAAATAGTTATTCCGTCATCATATTGACTAGAATTGATTGCACACTCTTTTACATCACTGGCCCTTTGTCAGTCTAGTTTCTGTTAGGGATCATATGCAAAGCTGGTGCCTCTCCAGAATGTTTATTCAGATTGCAACCAAAACACAAAACAACCTGCATGCTTAGACACCCCTTTTCATTTTAAACACAAAACACCACTTGTTTGTGTATACAGTATACAGTACCATGTCTCTCATGTAGCACCTGTACTCAGATCCATATTCTTTGTTGCTCACACGTCCTGTCTCACAGTATATCTTCCACTGCCTTCCTCTAAGGAAATATTACCATGCCAGCATGAAACTAAACTGACAGCTACTAAAAACAAATCACAAAATATTACTCTCCTTTACACAGGAAACCCTACTAGTACTAAACAAACAAAACGCTCAAACTACCAGCTGTCAGCCAAGATGTTACACTCTGTTTTTAACAGCATACCGTATGCATGTGCATACGTATGCATGTGTATTCATACACAGGGCTAAGATGTATAAGGTGGTAATGTATTATAATTGTGTAAGAGAAGGAAAAACATAATTAAAGAAATTAAACCAGCATGCTTGCCTATTCATTTCATTATATCCTACCTTTCTTGCACTGCAGGCCAATGAGGCCTTCCAGATGTTTTTGTTCCAGTGCAACTCTTTTGATCATGCACTGCTAGTCATGTTAGCTAGAGCTGACATCCATAAGTACCCTGTAGACACTGGAGCTGTTTTGTGCTGTAGACCCTATAGGCAGTTTTAAAACACAGGTGCCTTGACCCTGTTGATTGCACCAACTACTAGTGGCACAATCAGTCACACCCAATAAGGAAAGTAGTAAGCCAGTTAGACTCGCTGCTAAGATCACCTCCTTCCAAAGGCACATACCAGTCTCTGTTGCCCCAATTTGGTCCTTTAAGGCTGAATGAACATGCTGCTGGCCAAAGAGACAGTAGTATGTATTTCATCCTGATTCTGTGCCATGCCTAATATTGCGTCCAAACCACAATCATGAATCAAACAATATATTCTCTATCAATAGGAAGTTGAACAAGATTTGACCATTCATATTTGTTGATGGGTGTAGAAAACTTTATAATCAACTTGAGCTCCAAATGGGCTATGAAAAATCTAATTTCTATGTAGTTTTAAATAGACATTCTGATATCTAAAGAGCATTTGAGCTTTAACTTTTTAAAAACAGGGTTGTTGATGCAGATTAAAAACTTCCAAAGTATAAAATATTCCTGCTAAAATATCGATAAGGTTTTGGATTCCTCGAGTTACATACTCATCTGCTCAGCACACAGACAGCTTACAGATGGAAACATATGACCTATGGAGAAGCCTTCCACAACCTGGTGCCTTCAAATGTATAGAAATAAATCGATAATCATCTGCACCAAACATGCTGGTTGGGAGTGTTGAAAATTGTAGTCCTGGAGGGTGCCAGTCTGGAGACGAGGTCTCTAGAGATTTCTGCAAACTGCTCTCCTTGGGTGGAAACACCAGGATATTTTCTGAGGGAATATGTAGAATTCATGTTTAGACTGCTTTTATGGTACACGTCTTGATAGCTACATTACAGGAAACCTTCATGTAATTCACATGAAGGTTTTAGGGAACATTTGTAATAGTATTTATAAGCCACCTCAAAGTCAATTTGATGTGGTACAAAGTGATGGTAAAATGGAAGTTCCCAATTTCTGTCAGTGATTCACACATGAGGAAGCAATATAACACATGCAGCCTAGGGAGTAGGCAGATTTCTGTGGGTATATCCTGTTTATCACAAAAAACTAAGCTTTTTGATTGTGGAGTTCCAACTTCTTTGTATAACTGTTCAGCTGGGAAGCAGTGCTTCATTTTACCGATTGCCTTTGCAAGAAATCGGGCACTGTTGATATTCTTCACTTCTGTCCTCACTCCATACTGCTCTCCAGGGTGATGCACAGAGACATTGGCATCTACCCTCAGCTGGCCCGCTGAAAAGACAACAGCACATGGATTGATTTCACCATACACATGTTAAACACATATTATCCAGACATTCTGGACATGTACAAGGATGAATATACCAGGAGAGGATAACAGCCCTTCAAATGCTGCTGAAATTCAGCTCTCATCACCCCTGACCACGGTCTTCCAAGCATAAGGCAGGTTGCTCAACACCAGTTACCTTGGGCCCCTCTGTGGCATGGAACTAGCCAACTGCAATGGTGCTGCAATACACTTTGCATCAGTGTGAACCCCTTGTTGCCTCAATGAGTAGCTCTTCACTACCTGATATGGCATATATCTGTATGGACAGGCAGCACAGAAATTTTATAGTTTAGCCTCTATCGTAGAAAGCATCTGGCCATCCAGATACAGTATATAAGTCTACAGTTCTGGTCAACCCTACTAGGTTTGACCAATGGCAAAGGATTTTTAGGGGCTGTCATCCAAAACAATGGCCAATAAAACTCCTGTGCTATTAATCAACCATTAACCTACACCTTATTGTGTCATAGGCTAGATACTGTTTGGACATGAAGAAAGAACTCTGAGCAAACTTCTTAGCAGCAGGAAGGAATTCAGGGAGTTTCAAGTCAGAAGATAGGTTTCAACTGGTATGGAATGACCATCTGCAGATTTCATATAGCTCTGTCACAAAGCCAATAACAGTTAGGACAGGTTTATTCAGGTGTCCTTGAAAATGTACAGCTCAAGGACAGGTGTCAGAAACCTGTATTTCTTTTTCTTCTCAAGGAATTGTAATCTTTGCCACAAATACAATTTTGAATCTTTCTCAGCTGCCAAAAGCATCATATGTACAGCCTTGTATGAAATGATGCAGAGTCAGGATGGCACTGAAGCAAGAGGTGGGATGGAAATTCTTCCTTTCTCAGTGACATTTCTTGGCTTCTCCACATTCTGTTTAAACAAGCATTTAAGAAACTGGCAGTCAAACTGGGGAAGCAATATAAAATCCCACCAATAAGTGATTGAACAGATTGTTAGATTGCAGTGGAGAAAAAACAATTATACTACTTTCTTATATTTTCCTTCTTATCTACATGTATGTGAATGCCCTTCAGAGTGAAGCAAATACTGGATGTTTACACAACATGGTAAACAACAAGGATATTAAACTTGCAAGCAATAAAACTGTGCAAAAATTGTTGCTTCTTCAATGGCACTTTCCAAATATATGGGTGCTGCCTTTCCATGCTTGTTTGTAGTTATCACTGGATAGCTGTGAGCAAGGAAATTGTATGCCAAATGGAGTCTTAATTTTAAGGCATTCTGCCCAAAGCACAGACAGACAGACAGACAGACAGACAGACAGACAGACAGACAAACAAACAAACAAACAGGCAGGCAGGATGACTGTGTGCTTTTAATTTCATTCCCAACTGGGCTACAATTCCCATAACCTGAAACAGCATGGATATGGATGCTACCCACAGGTAGGATCTTTTGTTCCTCTAACCAACAGCTTCCAAAGTTTGGGCCTTAATGTGCCTTCTCACCTATGATGATTTTTTTAAATGTACACCTAAGTACATGCAACCAGTGTTTGTAAATCTGCCTATAAAATTACAGTCAACTCTCGACTTACAAAGGGCCCTAGTTACAAACATTTCAACTTACAAACCGCTCTGATAGATAAATATTGATTCGACTTGCAAACTTAGATTCGAGTTATGAACAAAAAAACGAGTGAGAAGTGGGGAAAGCAGGAAATTTGAACTTTCAGTGGGAAGTGGGGAAAGCGGGAAATTTGAACCTTCAGTTAACCGTTGGCCAGTGAAGAGGGTGCCTGTCCATTCCTCGCTCTTCCCAGCATTTTGAGAGTGGATTTGGAGACAGACTGGTATTGCCTGGTACAGTGCTGGACAGACTGTATTTTTATTTTTTGGCTTTTTTTAAATTTTGGATTTTTAAACGGTGTTCCCTCCCTCATTTGCTGCCCCCTTTCCCCCCAAAAGGTACTTGTATTGGCTTGTCTTGATTGAAAAGGGGGTTTTAAAGGTGATCTGTTGTCTGAAAGGTGCTTGGTTTTTCCCAGAAGATGCTTGTCTTGGCTGAAAAGGTGCTTTTCAAGGTGTTCTGTTGAAAAGGTGTCTGTTCCCTCCTTCCCTCCCTCTTTTCTTTCCTTTTTTTTAACCTAAGTCATCTTAGATTAAAAAAGGAAAAAAAAGAAAAAAATTCTGCCCCTAGTGGTAGGAATGGATTAACCGGCTTTGCATTAGTTCCTATGGGAACTAATGATTCGAGTTACAAACCACCCCTTGACCTAAGAACCAAAAACAGTCGGAACAGATTAATTGGTTTTCAGTGCATTCCTATGGGAAATGCCGATATGACTTACAAACGTTTCGACTTACAAACTTCCTTCCGGACTTACAAACTTCCTCCCGGAACAGATTAAGTTTGAAAGTCGAGGGTTGACTGTAGTAAATTTGACAGAAAGCTAGGACTGGCTAAAATGATTAAATCAGTTACATGCATAAAGGACTAATGATTAGAAAGCATAAGGAGTTAGTAGTGTAAGTCAAGAACATAGCATATTGTTTTACAGTTCTGTGGCAGTAGTTATTTGGAGTTTCAAACAAGGGTTTTCCCTAGGTTTAGCTGGAAACGCCAGGAACATACTGCATACAAGCCATGTGTTCTGTCCCTAAACTACAATTTCTCTGGTCACACAGAGAGCTGGGTTACTTAGAAATCACTTAACAGGCCGCGGACAGGAGATGGTAGAATCATAACCACAGTCCTTTGCAAGTGGGGAGAAGAACAGGCAACTTTACACCTATGTCAGTATACTCTATGGCCTTCATCATGTATAGTATTGTGGAAGACTTAATGTTAGCTGCCCCAAATGCTCTTCATGTTGCCTGTTATTGGGCAAACTTATTTGATACTTTTTCTAATTGTACTGTTGTGCTTCTGCCATGAACAAGAAAGAAATTCCCCCCCCCATGATTCTAGGAAAAACAAAATCAGAATCAAAGTTTCTCTTTAGCTACCAAAATGTTTCTCTCCCTTAAAATGCTCCCAGGTACTAGCTGTGCCACAAGGATATTTTAAAAGGTGAAGCAGTTCTGTTAAATGTCCACAGGGTCTACAATAATCATAGATATTTCTTTATTAAATTATGTAAGGCAGTGCAGCTATCAATGAACAAATGGGAAAGAAAGAGAACACATGTATATGTTCAAAAGAAAGAGCAGCTGGCAAGATGCCACATAATGCTGAAAAGACAATTTTAACTTACTGTAATTTAATTTTCACTTAAACTGCTCCAGGTGGCTGGACCACAATTATCCAGAAAACCAGGAAGGAAGCAGCACCAAAGTCATCCATTTCATGCTGAGTTCCCAAGTGTATTAAACACATTTTGGAACAAGTCAGCAAAACAAATTCATTTAGCTCATACCACAAAATGCAGACCTTATCATGTGCCACAAAAACTTCATCTATTGTGGCTAGTTTTTCAAACTGGGATCAAAGAAACCTAAGATTCTTTAGAAACTTATCATACATTCTATAATCAGAGGATCACTGATAGATTACAAATATCTCTGAAAACGCTAGCCATGCCATATCTTAGTGGCAGAGTAATGTCTTACAAGCACAGAGTCTCAGCATCTCCATCAAAGCTGGAAAGGAGTACTGTCTAAAATCTTGAAAACCCACTGCTGCTCAGCATAGTCCAATAAAGGTCCATCGACCTCAGCCACAAAGCTTCCTTGTTATTCATCTTCTCCTGCAAAGTATAACTGCACACAAGCATTGCGACAGGGTAAGGCAACATATATAGTCCACTTCTGCACGCCAAAGTTTTAAATTTTTTATTTTCTTTTTAAAAAACATGCTTTGCTCAAAATGTTTGATGTGTTTTGAGGGTCCTCCAGCACACTAGGGTTGCTCACACTGCCTCAAAATATTTAATTCTTCTTTTTTACAAAAATCTGGTCACTCGATGGTGCAATTTTCAGTTAACAAACTATTTCTAGTTATACAGTACTTGTTTTTTTTCCAGCCAAAAATCCACGGCAGCAACTTTTACAGTAAACAACTGCTGTATTGATTTTTTAAAATATATATATACAAATTAGTCTCTTTGGCCACATCATCTCCTTTGTACCTGGGCCCTCATAAGTATAGCCCTTGAGCTGCCCACAAATCTGAAAATGTCCCATGAGGCTGACCAGCATTAGATGTTTGACAGGGTTCCTTCTCCAATCCTGCAATGTGTTAGTGGCACTTAACAGAACAAGGCTTTGGCTCAGGAGAAGAGAATACACAAACTATTATATGCCAACATACAGAAGTTCCTTGGCTTACATTTTAATATGGAAAAGATTCTCAGAAGGTAGAATACTTGAAGACCACTGGCTGAAGCCACCGTCCCATCAAGCTGTGGTGAGAGCTGTGTATATTTGGAGTACATGTTGCTAAACCAAAGGATCCCTAATTCAGAACTACAGAAAATCCAAACTTCACAAGCTTTCCTCAACACTTATTTCACAGCTTACGTCTACTTGCATTAGTCATGTCTTTAAACCTGAAATCAAGGTCAAGTTCCTGTGATCCTCACCAGGCAATAACCACACATTTGTAAGTCCCAGGCACTTAGGACCAGGCATATTTAAAAGAAAAATAAGCACTGCTATTATTAGTGGCATGTGATATTATATGCATATATGATATTATATTGATATTACATGTAAAAGAAAACCACAGAACAACAGAGACCCATAAACTACAGAATGCTGCCTGCACCCCTTAGACTTGAGCTTGCTGTTTCTTCTGCTCTCATTGTTAAGTGTCAAGTCAAGTCTCTGCTACCCAAATTCTTAGGCCCCGGCTCATCTATTTCAGTCTTTCTAAACTGCTTTTCTGCCTATTAGGGCTCTCAAACCTATGTACCATAAAATCAGAATATAAAGAAAAAACGAACAGAAAAGTCTAAAAGCAGTTCTAAAAGTCAAAGGCACAACAAAACTTATGTACCATAAAATCAGAATGTAAAAAAACAAGCAGAAAAGTCTAAAAACAGTTCTAAAAGTCAAAGGCACAACAAAACAACACAGAGACACAGACAGCATGGCTTTCCTTGGGTGGAATTTCTACACTGGAGGTGCTGTTCCAGAGAAAGCCCTGTGTCATGTACTCACCAATCTAATTGCTCAAGATGGTGAGACATGCAACGCAGTCTACACCAAAAATATTACACTGGAATATCTCAACTGACTCTGACTTGTCTTCTATCAACATGTTATTTTTGATTTAGACAGACACTGGAAAACCACAGGCTTTTGTATTTCCCATCGTGAGATGAATTCCTATCTCTGCTTCGGTCTTCACTTTCCTTCTGAGTTGACTTTTGATCTCTGTAACAGGCAGCAACCATGTGCTGACTCTCCTACTAGTTCCAGGTCCTCTGATTATGTTACAATGGCATCACATGTCTGACCTTGGCATGCTATAGGTGGATGCTACTGAAAGGGATGCATGTCAGATTCAGTCTTTTGTCTCCAGACTCAAATGAATGACAGGAATGGGACAAGCACATCTTCAGTAGGAAATTGCTCAGGTTACAGAAAAACTAGACATAAAATAGGTCTAGTAGAACCACCTGAAAAGCACATATAACTGAATTTAATACCTTACAGGAAAAATACTTGAATGGCATGATAATTTCACAGCCAAAACACAGCTGTGAGGGAAAAAAAGTGCAATGCTTCCCTGGACAGTATACTACAAGTAATAGATTCATGCCAAGACTGTAACTCAGAGTGCAAGATAAAAAATAGTAATCACCAAGAATGCCCCAAACAATCTTCTGCAGGTTAGCCCCTGAATTTTCAAAAGCAGCTGCAAGAGCAACAAAACTCTGCAACTTAAGCACAATGGTTGGAATTGGGAAAGACGGGGAACAGCAAATGAAACCACCACACAAGAAGTGGATCAGGTTACCAGTGCACCACCGTGCTCCATTCAAGATTCAGGGCTATTTCAGTCCTACTTAGAACATACTTGCTAAAATGTCACTACAACTAACATCTATCCCATTGTTAGTCCCAATTATAACAAACCCAATGAATCACTGAGACACAAAAGTATTGACTGGACTAGTTCCATTCATAGAACCATTAACTATTGTAACTGGGACTAAAAAAAATGACAGTAACCTAACAGATATAATTCTAGGTAGCACTACAATAAGATTTAGCCCTAAGAATTGGAAGGCTAATGTCCTATGCAAGGCAGAATTTTTTTCACCAATGATCATTAATAATGGGGAAGATGGGGGAGGACAGGGGATGATATCATTCACTGCTCAAAGGCAGAGGGCCCTGCTAGAGAATTCTTACTTCCGGCCAAGATCCTGTACAGCTGCTCTGCTAATAGAACTACTCTGTCAACAGAATCTGGGAGACAGCGATTCTCTCCCCTCCACACCCTATATGGATTCCCAAAAACTGTTCCAGAAGGCTGCATATTTTCAGATTGACCACAGGATTTTGCAAGCAGCACAGGTGGAAAAAATCCCATTTAACTAGTATTCAGGATCTAAAACACGCTAGATTTATACTCGCTGCTGCTCATTTTCCAAAATGGGCAGCTGTACACCAAAACAAGAATATGAAAGAATCAAAGGGAAGCTCAATATATACAGATGGGAAATTAATGAAAAACTGAATGCAAAAGAGAAATCATACTTATTACTATATATTAGAGAAGTTTGAGGGGACCTGAGCACTAAATTGCTCCGAGATACAATTATAGACAGATCAATATGCAATTAATCTGGACACAAATGCATATGTGCTTCTAGAGTGAATGACTGTAAACTCAAGTTCCAATTATTCAACCTTTTACCATTCCCAGGATCACCTGCGGTTAGTCAAGGTGTTACCATTATTGTTGTTCTGGATAACCTGCATCACAGCAGCATGGAAGGAAGGTAAGAAAGAAAATAATGGAAGCAAACAGCACCTGAGCTTTTAGTCACTTCCTCCCTGCTAAAATTTATCACATAAAATTTAAAAAGCACTTGTGGAACAAAAGAATCTGAGCTGAAGACAAGGCAGCTGGGCCCCTCTACAACACCTGAGGTAAAAGTGACCTTACCGAGACTCCAGGAAGGTTTTACAACAAATACAAAGAAAACCCATAACAGTAACACAACAATGCTGACTGATAAGCAGCTGCAAGGCAAAATACATAAGATGCTGTAAGAGTGCCTTTGTGAGGAGAAAATTACAGCTGAGAAAGGATAAACATGCCCTCCCAGACCTCTACCTGCCATGTTTGCTTGGCTGCTCCCAAGAGTCTGGAGGATAAGCTGAAGTTCTTTCACTGCTGCAGCAGCTTCTTCTCCACAGCACATATCAGGCTCCATGACAACCTCCATCAAACCAACTCCTATCAGAAACAACAAAAGATTTGTAACAGCAGCTTTTGAACTCAACATAAAAATTCAGACACAAGAATTGAGCTTTGTGTTAGGAAACTGGAATCATTGTCAAACTGGCTACACCTACAAAACTGTCATGCAAAACCTCATTTCTCTCCATTGTCAAGAAAATAAGACAGCACCCAATGATGTTCTTCCAAGCATAAGGCAGACTGCTCAAAGACAGTTACCCTGGGCCTCTCAAGTGGCACAGAAACGGCCATTCAGTAGTGGAAAGGAGATACAAACCTTTGGCCATTCAAGAGCAATGGTGTCAGTGAGACCCAGATGCAGAAGAAGTAAACTTTCTGTCAGGGAAGCCCCTGCTCCTTAACGAGCAGCTCTTCACCAACTGACATGACATCCAAAATACCTGTATGAAGAGGCAGCCCAGACATTTTAACGTTCATTCTCCAGAGTAAAAAACATTTGGCCCCCCAGATGTACTGCCTACTAATTTGACCAATTCTACTTAGCATGAATTGTGAAGATTGAAGTCCAGATTATTTGGAGGGCCAAAAGTCGCCTGTTGTTGGTCTACTCTTTATTGTAATATAAGCTAGACACTGCCTGCAAGTTTCTACTAAGTTCACACCTAAAGCTTTTTTCTAATACTGATTAGGTTCCCTTTGTCTCGGAATCTTATCTAGAAGTAGAGCATGTTTGAGAAAAATGAAGAGCCAACCAGCCACTGTTTTCTCTGTAAATGGAAAACAGAACTGCTAGCCAAGGTTCTGAACTTTGCTCTTCCTATTATACATGTAGATCAGCTATGATACAGGCATCTCTCATGCTTGAACCTAACCTCTCAATGAACGTAATAAAAACTGTAGGCCAACAACTTGCATCTGGAGGTAGTACTAACTGTTCCAGCCATGTGAACAAGCAAACACATTGCCTGTAATTTATTCATTTAATCCTTACACAGTTACTGTACATGGACAAGGCAAGAGGGAAAATGGGTTTCTATAGCACTTTAAATTCTTTACTGTTTTTATTTGGCATATATTTTCATGGGCTACTGCCCATTTTTTTCAAAGGCATGGAATACTAGCTCAGTGGTTTAGGCATCTGGGTATGAAGCCAGAGGTTGTAATTCAAATCTGCCATGCCTCCTTGAGGGGCTGTTCTCAATGGGTCCCTTCTAAGACAAGAAGATTATAAGACTATCTTTTAGGAAAAGACCGAGCTAAAATAGAATTGAGCACCTCTGCCTTTTCTTTGCCATTTGTTGTCATTTTCTAATACCCATTGAGTAGCTGAGTTACTATATATTTTCTCTGTCTTTTGTTACAAATGTACCTGAAGAATGCTTTTTGTTGCTTTTAACATCTCTTGCTAACCTCAGCTCATTTTCAGCTTTTGTCTTCCTAGCACCATCATTGCAATTCTTTGCTACTGTCAGCAACTAGAAGACCTAAAAGATTGGCACCAAGTGGCTCCCTCCTCCTTGGCTCCTACAAGTCCATCCTCTCAGTTGGACTTGTAGGAGCCAAAGCTAGGGACGGACTGTGTGGCACAGCCTTCTTCCCTCCCCCTACCCAGATATTGGCACTGAAGAGAATAAAGAGGAACTGGAACCAATGAAGTTCCTGAAGCTGCAACAGCCATCCCAGTTTACTGGCACCATGTTCCTCCATCTTCAATCCCGAACACTTCCAAATCCACGTGGTGCTTCACTTTCTGTAGCCCCTTCAAAAAACCCCATCAGGACCCCCTAAGCCAGTGGTTTCCAAGCAAGGTGATCAAGGCGTTCTTGGATTGCAACTCCCAGAAACCCATGTCCCATGGCATTAACCAAACCTCCCTCTCACCTATCAAATAGCAGTCAATTGATGAAGAAAATAAAGTCAAGAGGAGATGGAATGGACCCACCCATTGAAGGTTGTGGAGGGTTGTGGATGCTTGTCAGGAACCTCTCACAGATGTTTTGTCTGACACCAATCCATATTGTATACCTCCGTCCCACCTCTCTCCATTTCTCTAGGCCTTTTCCCACCATTATACAATTTGTTTTTGCATAACCCCAAATATCCTGAATTGGGCCCCTGGTGGTATACATACCACAGGTTGGGAACCACTGCTAAATAGTCATCTTTAAGGCTTGTTTTTGTTGTGAGAGACGATTTTTTGTCTGACACCAATCCATATTGTATACCTCCGTCCCACCTCTCTCCATTTCTCTAGGCCTTTTTCCACCATTATACAATTTGTTTTTGCATAACCCCAAATATCCTGAATTGGGCCCCTGGTGGTATACATACCACAGGTTGGGAACCACTGCTAAATAGTCATCTTTAAGGCTTGTTTTTGTTGTGAGAGACTAGCATTGCTAACCCCCTGGAAATGAAATCAGAAAAGTATCCTAAACCTACCTGCCCTGTTCAAGTCAATGAGAGTCTGATTCCTTAAATCATCATGTAGGCTCTTTCCACTATCTTGCTCCAACTGTATCTGCTTGATCCTTACAGTCTTGGTTATCATTTCATTCTGGTTCTTCCCTATACACAGGTTGTATGGCAGTATTCCATTCACAGCAATGGGAAGCCTTTGCTGAGTGATCTGATAGCCAGCCTGCATTTAGAGGTTGAACAGTCAGCTGCAATCAACTACTTTAAAACAAACATTTATTATCTCTTCATTTCAACAGGTGGCCTTTTTCTTTTATTATTATTAAACTAGATTCATACAATCCACACTATAAGCTCAGCCACAGATTTCCCTTTCTCTGCCACTGCACATTAAAATGATGATCATTATTTTTAAACACAGAGATGATGAGCAATGATACACAACAGGGATCCCATTTTGTTCTTGAAGCTCTATTTTCCATATTAAACCATTCAAAAAACCCCTAAAGTGGTATTTATCTTATCAAGATGCATGTCTGAGGCAGGCATTTTGTTAAAGGCTTTTGTGATGGTGCAACGTAGGGCAGCTCTAAGGTTAAAAGAAAAACTACACAGAAAAAATGAATCAAGTTTGCAGATGAAAACTGGCTGGTAGGACAGGTAAGCACCTCTTTTTATCTACTGACTCTCATCTTCAAATAGGCTCCAACTAAGGGCATGGCATTCTTTTTTATTTTGTGGATTCCAACTATCTGGAATTCTCCAAGAGTTCCCCAGGCAGAATCCTAGCTGCAGACACCTACAGTTCTTTCATCTAGGACAAGGCCTATCTTGAAGGTTTTTGAGGGCTGTACTAAAAAGGGAAGCTGCTTCCTGGGAGGCCTAGGTCTTCATGAGAGATGTAGTTCTTTGGGACTACACCCCTATAAAACCCAAGGGCAGTGAGACTACAACTCCTATAAATTCTGGAAGCTGGAGTTCCAAAACAAAACAAAATATCCAGAAATAGCACACCAGTAACCCCAACCTCCATTCATGTTAGAAGGTGTTGAGAACACTGCATTTCTCTCATTAACAGATGTATTTTGTCCTCAGTATACTGCATATTGGGGAAAGGGGTGCAGTTTACATATGCTCAGAATCTTAGAGCTAGAAGGATGCTGAAAGGTACTCTAACCCAGCCTCCTGCTGGTGGATGAAACTCTGGTGGATGATCATCCAGCTAAAGGCTAAAACTGGATGTGGCTCTAAACCACCCTCAATCCCAGCAATTCCTAGATTTAAAAACACCATCATTGTCATCAAAGCACCCTTCCACCCTCCAAGGAAAACACAGAAAATACAGATTTCAATGTGTAGAAAACAGCAATTTTAGGAGTGTTTGTATCAGAGGGTGTTGAAGACATTTAATTTCATCTCGAGCATATAGAAATTCTGTGAGGTTTTTTTTAAAAAAGAACCCCAAGCATATTCATTATCATAATGTTGGCTTCAAGCAGAAATTCAGGCCCCCTATTTACATTTTAAAACAATGAAACCTGACTTTTTGATGGATTTGAGCAGGCCTGCTTCATTATGTCAGATGTAATGAAGCAAAGCTTCCACAGCAAGCCTCTTCCTCATGGAACTGTAATTTGCAACATCTACAGATATTACTACCTGATATATTAAGCCTCCTTTATTCCTTTTAGAGAACAGTGGGCTTTAAAAACAGAACACTGTATTTTCGCTCCACAGAAAGCAAATGGCCGTGATCGTCTATAGGGCCCTATGTGTTTGTGATACATTCATCTTGAAAAATCAATAGCAGACTGTTTGTCTTAACCCTAACAGACAATTAGTGGGAACAGAGGAAGCCTGGCCCAAGCAGCGCCTTCTCCCAATTCAATTACCCAAGCCAGTGGAAACATGAGGCACAGCACTGGAGTCAGCAATCAGGGCTATCACCTTCAATCAGCGAGAGTCTGGCTGCAGCTGTCTGCTTATCGGGGCACAGTGCCACATCCAGCTTAGATGGGCAAAACAATGGCAGAGAACAAAAAAGCATCTTGTCTCCCAGCCTGTTCCCCCATCCGTTCTTCAGACTCACCCCCCCTTCCAACTGGCCGGGGGGGACGGACAACGCTCAATACATACTCACAGGCAAATCTGCATAGAAATAGTGCTTCCTGTCAAACAAGGACTTCTTGTTTATGGTACAGTTGAGCGCAATGCTCGTTGCTACTGCTGCTTCCACGCATCTTCTGTTGAGAACCTAAGGAAATATGACACATGACTTTGCTTGGAAACCCAGTATGAAACAAATGCCTCTCCCACGCACTGCCTTTTAAACAGTGCAGGCTCTCTCTTTCACTTGTCTTCAATAATCACTATCTCCTTCCTCGTTCGTGGGGAGCATCGAAAATCTGAATGCTTTTATGCCAAAGAATATCTTCCCGTACCATATGTGGGGGAGGAGAGAATGTCTGTTAAAAGAATTGTATGGACAAGCTCAATAGAGAAAAAAGCACTTTTCAAAAATATATTTTGAGTCTGGTTTAAGGCTTGGCACTCCCAGTCTGGAAATCTTTAGCCCTGTTAAGAATAATTTTCACCTACTGAGCGCAGGAGCACAAACTGACCACCGGCCCACTTCAAAACAAACACTTCTGAACCTGTTAATGAATAAAGATTTCAGTGTGTCACATCCCAATTAGCTAAAAAGGTCAGCAGATGAGAACTGTAAGTACTAACAGTAGCTATTAATTTGCAGCCTATTATATAAGTATGAAGACTGAGTTTAAAAAAGAAAGAGGATACTTTCACTATATCTTCTCAAGCCATTCATTACAGATTATGACCTTCATAATGTTTATATGACTTTTAGAGAGCATTCCAAGTATTTCACCTACGATATATCAATTATTCTAGCAATCATGTTGTAAGGGAGGTGGTCAGAAGGGTAGTAGAGGAGGTCAATAGTATTATCTTTGTACTACATGTTATAGCCGGTTGGATAAGTCAGTGAAATGGACCACCTGACTGTGTAATCAATGGTCATGAGTTCCTCGTGGCGCAGTGGTTAAACCGCTGTACTGCAGCCAAAACTGTGCTCACGACCTGGGGTTCAAATCCCAGGTAGCCGGCTCAAGGTTGACTCAGCCTTCTATCCTTCCGAGGTCGGTAAAATGAATACCCAGTTAGCTGGGGGGGGGGCAATGTGTAGCCTGCATAATCAACTTGTAAACCACCCAGAGAGTGCTTGAAGCACTATGGGGCGGGCGGTATATAAGCAGCAAGCACGCTTTGCTTATTGTGTCTTATAGAAGAACAGCTAGCCTGCATAGCCTTAGGCAAGCTGCACAATTCCAGAGCGCCTCCAGAAGCAGTAAACTTTATACGTGGGAAACCCTGGAAAGAACCACCGTAAGTTGGAATTGACTTGATGGAATGTAATTATTATTAATTATTGCATGCTGTAGTTCTTATATTGTTTCATTGCAACTCCCACCATTCCTTGCTATTACCTATACTGGCTTGGGTTGAAGTAACATACAGTCTAATAACTTGTGGAGGGTATTAGGTGCTAACTCCTGCTATACATACAGCCTTTGGCCACAACTAGAGGCCTTCATTCAACAAGAATGTTCCAAGTTTGCCCAAGTGCATATAGAAATCTTTAATTTCCTTCTTAGCATTTATTTATTTATTTACTTATTTATTTATTTATTTACACCCTGCCCATCTAGACCGAAGTCTACTCTGGGCGACTAACAATAACAGATAAAATAAAAACAATATAATAAAATAAAAAACAACAGTAGTAATATAGTTCAAGATGGGGAAAATAATCAAGTGATGACAGGAGAGAAAGCCTCCCTAAAGAGCCAGGTCTTAAGTTTGCTCTTAAAAACACCCAGCGAGGGAGCCAGACAGATCTCTGTGGGCAGACTATTCCAAAGGCAAGGGGTCACTCACTGCCGGTTTTTTGTTCCTTCTCTCCGGGCTTTCCTTGGTGTTAGGCCCTCAGCCACCCTTCCTGGCTAGAATGAGTGATTCGAGTACTGTAGATCTAGGTGGGAGGAGGCGTTCTGCTAGATATCAAGGTCCTAAACTGTTTAGGGCTTTATATGTCATCATTAACACTTTGAAATCAATGCGGAAACGAACAGGCAGCCAATGCAAGGCAGCCAGAGTGGGGGAAATATGTTGATATTTTCTCACCCCAGCGAGATTCTGCACCATTTGAAGCTTCCGCATCAATCTCAAAGGTAGCCCCACATAGAGTGTGTTACAGTAGTTTAATCTTGAGATTACAAACTCATGGACCAGAGTGGTGAGCACCCCAACATCAAGATAGGGATGCAACTGGGCAATCCGCCACAGATGGAAATAGGCGGAGCGGACCACTGACACTACCTGGGTTTTTATGCTGCGCGTCGGATCCAGATGGACCCCCAAGCTGCAAACCTCACTCTTCGTGGTGAGAGTCACTCTGCCAAAAGAGAGGGAGTTTCCCAAACCACTGATGGAGGGGCCACCCACCCTCAGGACCTCCGTCTTGTCCAAGTTCAGCCTCAGTCCATTCTCCTGCATACATTGCAGTACAGCCTCCAGGCAGCACTGAAGGGAGAGAATGGCATCCACTGTGGTTGGAGTAAAGGAGATGTAGAGCTGGGTGTCATCAGTGTACTGATGGCACAAAGCCCCACACCCCCTGATGGCCCCACCCAGTGGCTTCATATAGTTATTAAACAGCATTGGGGAGATAATCGAGCCCTGTGGAACCCCACAATTGAGATTCTACGGAGCTGATACACTGGCCCCAAGCTGTACTCTCTGAGGACGGTCCTCCAAGAAGGATTGGAGAGACCCGTTAACTATTGCCGTGGCCCATTCGGTTGTTATAGGCCTAGCTGCTTTGATTAGCCAGGTCAGGCAAGGGTCAAAGGAGGAGGTGGTGGCATGACAGCAATCACAGGCTGAAAGCAATCGAGAGCTTTATCCACGATATCTGGCATCACAGGCTAAAAGAGATTGAGTCTCATCGGGCAAGGCGGAGCACTGGACATCTCTGCTCGATCTACTATATTCAAAAAAGGAGAGCACTCCCGGCAGATGTCCTCCAATTTGCACTTTTGCAAAATGTTGCAAATTGGACAGGTGAAATATTAGTAGGAGGCCCATCACTTAGACCAATTCTAGGCCTATCACTTTGATCACGGACTATACTGAAAATTTCCACCCACTGATTTGAAGCTGCTCTTATCCCAACAGCAAAGTGAGCTCAACTGGCAGCCCTCACCTTAGTAAGGTAATGGTTAGTAGCAATCTTGACAGCTTTCTGATTATATTCCGTCGGGTTCCATTTCCAATTGCACTCTAGCCTTGTCCTGTTCTGCTTCATAGCTCGCAGCTCCTGGTTAAACCAGGGTGCTGGACAAGCTCTTCAATAGAGAGGGCGTTTAGGAGTGATCGTGTCAAGCCAGCCATCGACCAGTGCCTCGACATGAGCGCCAGTCAGATCAGCAGGAATTCCCGTCATGGAGTCCTGGAATCCTACAGGATCCAGTAGCCTTCGAGGGCAGACCCTTACTATAGGTCCTTGCTCTCTGCAGGAAGGGAGAGCCACTGAGAGGTTACATTTAATTAGGTGGTGATCCAACCATGACAAGGGAACTGACACAAGGTCAGTCACCATTAGACCACACTCACTTCGCCCGTTAAAAAACCCCAGGTCTTGACTGTGGTAAGAACATTATTAAATTGAGTAATACGGTACTTAGAGCCGCCATTTCCAGAGAAGAAAACAAACAACCTGACTGGCATTGTTCATACAACAACACATTAGAAGGAAGTAGATACTAAACGTCAACCCCTATGGTCTCTGCTTCTATGGGAGTCTTTAAGAACAGTCCTGGAATGAGATGAGAGATTATATGGTAGACGATTGTAAGGAATCTAATGACTGCTCCTGCACTTTGCAGTATAGGCGAACTTCTTTGTTTGTGTAGAAGCAATCCAACGGTGATTCTAGAGTCTGATGTGCATTATTTAAAATGTTATGCAACACTGTGTTATAGTATCCATTCTACCAAAATGGGTTGTTTATTTGGATTGTTCTACTAGCCAGAATCCAACAGTGCCCTTTGCCAAACCCTCTGGAGTCAGATGTTCGATGGCACAAAGGGATGCAGAGGAGATGAGGGGTGAAGAAACTCCGATTGTGCTTTGATTTGGGTGCTAGAGCAATATGTACATTTTAAACAGAAACTGGAAGAGTTATTTTTTGGGATGATGACTTCCCCCAGATCCTCATGCTGGCTTCTATGAGTCACAGTCAAGAAGAGTATTTCCCACCCCACATCTTTTTCTAACCCATTACAGTATATTTGGTAATGGGTTGGTATCAAATTATGTACTGTAATTAGGTGGTATGCAAATAATGTAATCACTACCAATTTCCATAGCACATAATATGTGAACAACAATGAGCAGTTTAATTTAAAAATAGTTGTTCTTTGACTCTGAAATTCTGGTTTTACTGTTGCCTTTTGTATGTGACGCCTCCACTCTAATAGCCCAAGAACACAATGATAGCAGAGTATATAAACCAATGACAGCTACAGTTGCCATTGCACTATTACAGTCATTAGCTATTAGACAAGATTTACAAGCCCCGACCAAGAGGTAAGGCACCTGTGGTCCTCCAGATATCACTGGACTCAACTTCCATCTACCCTAACAAGAATATCCAGTGGTGAGATATAATGGGAAGCACAGTCCAACAGCAACTAAAGGGCCATGTTTGCCCTATGTACTCTAAGCTGTGAACATTTCATTCATTTGCATAAGAATTGCTGCTATACGTTCCTGCTTTTATTAGGAACTTGACATAACTTGCTAAGAAACACCTGTTTCTCTGTGACAATATTCAATCCTGTGGAAAAGACATACTCTCCCAACTTGCCATAAATAAGTGAAATCCAGTGTCAAAACACAGCCTCTGTTCTCACACTCTTATCCTAGCACATGTCAATTTATGGATGCAATAGTCTAACTTGCAGTACTCTCAGGATTTGGAGTAGAGAAAACTTTGGGCTGAATACTGGAAAACGCTAGAAACGAAGAGTTCCAAAACTGTTCTGAAAATGTGCAAGTCTTTCTTTTGTTCTTTCTCTCTTTTTTAAGCACAACTTGACAATTTAGGATTTAAATTAACAAAATAGAAAGGAATCTACGTATGAACCTTGTAACATATCTTCAAAGTGGTTT